AAGTTCAAATCATGAATATCATCATATTTCAGTTTAGATTTACCTGCAGAATTGCTAACTATCATCCTCATAGCTTCCCAACTACTTAGCACTGAAGCCAATAATATTATCGCACGTATCTAATCATCAAAAATCAATTTCAACAAACAAAAATTAATTTATGATAATATTGAAATCATTCAGGTGTTGATCAACATACACACCTTCCGCTATCTTCAAGTTGAATAACTTTTTCATCAAATGCACTTTGTTATTCGTCGATTGTTTTTCATACATATCTGATAAAGCCGCCATGAGATCTGCAGTCGTTTACAACAGTCATTTCTTTTATGACGTTGTGGACAACAGACATTGATAGAGTTAATCAAATAACCCATAGAACTTGTCGATTCAACAGATTTCATTCTGCCTTGTTCATCTTTTCCAACTTCTTTCCAAGTAACGAAAGATGGAGTTTCTTCCCATAGAGGTAGTTCTCTATCTGCATCCTCCAGTAACCAAAATTTGTATCATTAAACTTCTCAATCCCCGATGTCATCATTTCATTTCTGTCTATCGTTCTTCCTTATATCTGAACCAAAGCTCTGATACGAGTTGTTATGAAAAACAACGACAATAAAGTGAAAAAACCAGATCGAAAAATTGCAAACCAAAAAATAACACACATATTGACATGGTTCGACTAATTTGCCTACGTCCTCAGAGTTGTAGAGGATTTTATTACTTCAAGAAATTACATCATCGAGCCTCTCGACGTTTACAAGAAAACTTCTTTTCTCTCTCTTAGCTCTCAAGAGGAACTGTCTTAGCTCTTATGACAAGCCAAAAAAGACTATTTAAAGAAAATGAGAGAAAGATAGGTGGGACGTGGTAGGTAAGGTAGGTAAATCACAGGCTCCACCTAATACTTAGGTTCTCTCTCTCATCCCCCATGTAAAAAGAAACTCTTCCCTTTTTCCCACTTGTAACCGTCAAGTTGTGTGGAATAAACATGGCAACTCTTTCTCTCTCTCATTCTCTCTCTCCTTCCCTCGGATTCCACGTTCTACCCTTTGAGCACGAGCCAAAGGACAAATTTAGGTTCAACA